ACATAAGCTCCTGTTGCTCAAGCAACTGATGCCTACTGAGGGAAATACAACCTTAAATTGGCGGAATTTAACGAAAAAAGGGTGATTCGACCTTAGATCGGCGGAATTTAATGAAAAAGGGGAAAGTCGGGTCACTGAAAATGGGAAAGTAGGTTATTGTTATAAGTGAAAGGCAAATAGGACCTCTTAAGACAGTCCTGCCATAAAAAAATATTGAAAGTAGAGCAGGAGTTTTTTGAGTATTAATCATTTCGGATAAATAATAAAAGCCTCCACACTATACGTTGGCACCTAAACAGTAAACTTTGACTTTAACGTGGTGATGATTTCCATGCAATTAAGTCAGCAAGCGACACAACGATCCATCACCCACAAAAGGCAGAAAGACTGCTCGGTTGAACTGGCACGAATAGCCCTGTCGGGTCCCGTTAGATGCCATCCTGCAGTCGGCACACTACAACCAATAGATCAAATCAATAACCCGATGATGGGTCTCCACAGGGACAAAAAACATCCTTGAGGGAGCAGTTGAGGCCTTTGGTTGAAGATTAAAAAAGCATTGGCTCCCACGATGATACAGTGGCAAAACCACGGGAAGACAGCAGGAGACGAGGTCTGACATAGTGGCTGACTGCATATAAGGCTCCACAATTCGCGGAAGCCGCCCCCTCCTCACTGACCGAAATTAATTACACTAGGACAGTTCTATCATCGCGAAGGACGAGGTCTACCCTGTGTCCTATGGCTTGGTGAGCGCAGAATGAAGAATTGTCCGTGAATTAGCCTATTGTCATAGTGGACTTGCGAGCCACCTTCTGTACCCTCTCCGTTTTCACCCAACTGGGCCCGGTGGCAAGAAGGCTGTAGGCGGACTTGGGCGCAGTAGCCGGCAACGCTAGACAATCCGGCTACGCCTGCTCCATATATGGTCTTATCCTGCTTACGGTGGATCAAGTTGTCACAGGAGCACCTGAATGTAAGTTTCACGGAGCTCACAGTAAGCTGGAGTCGCCTGAGTGGGCCGAGTTACCCTGACAGCTGACAGCTTGCAAAATGACGACTTGTAAGGCCTTGTGCTAGTTTAAAAATGCGTCAGACTGGGGAAGGACTCCCAGAGCCCACCTCACTCTCTCCTCCCTCGCTCGTCTATCCTTGCTTGTGCTGGTGCTAGGTTCGGCCACGGTGGTTGGCATGGCACGAGGCCTATGTATAGGCGCG